CTCATATCTGTACATATCTCAAGCCACAAGAGAACATCAGTAGGCTCTGGAGAAGGAGACTCTATTCTTCTCGATAATGATTGACAGTGTTGAAGTAATGCAGCATCCACTGTTAACTGTGGAGGCTCTGGGGTCCCACACATTCTTTCCCATTTAGACTTTTTTTTTCAACCTTTTCCACATTACTGGCAGCTGTCTGTGTGGCCCATTTGCCGGATATGTTGTCTGAAACGGAACATTGGTTATCAATAGGAATTATTTTTCTCAAGCATGAGAGAATGTTTGCTTAGTAACAACTTAAATTACTGTAAGACATCATCCATATTGCTCCCAAGGACTTTAATACCATGCTGGTTTTCCCAGGGCCCAGCACCTGCTGATTACATATCCAAGAAATACACACTATGTGCTCCAATCTAGGCTAGGTAGCTTGTATGACAGAAATGTCCCCAGAGTCACAATAGGACACACCAGTGGAGGAAGATACAGTGATAGCATGACCTATGCCAAGAATTAATAAATATTTTCATAAATGACTCATAGATGTCTGGCATGGTGGTTCACATCTTTAGTGCCAATACTTGGGAAATAGAGGCAGTAGATCTGTGAGTTTAAGCTTGAGACCAGCCTCTTCTACAGAGTGAGTTCCAGGCCAGCAGAGATATGTAGAGAGACCCTGTTGTTCAGTGATTTGAAGTTACATGACTCAACTATAATTAATTATGTATGATTCTTCTATAATTCCTTACATGTAGACTAGTGAAACTCAACATCCTTTTAGATGTCTTAGTATTATTACAGATAATTTATAACCTAATATATATTTTCTTAACCAACTAATACAAATACATGTGATAGGGATGGTTGAGGGTGGCTCAGGAGAGTACTTGCCTAGCCTGCACAAAGCCCTGGGCTCCATCACTAGTGAGACATGTCTGGACACAGGGACACACATCTGTAATACTAGCACATTAGTAGGAGGCAGCAGGAGGTAGAGGCAGCAGGCTCAGAAGTTCAAGGTCATTCTGGACTTATATAGAAATCCCAGAGCCAGCTTAGACTACACAGACCTTAAAGAAAGAAGGGTGGTAGGGCCCACCCTCTAGCAGAATAAACAGGACTTGTTGTCAGAGGAGAGAAGAAAAGGGAGAAGATGTGGAAGGTACAGAAAGGATTTTGCCAAAGAACTTTCCTTTAAGGCTTATCTTATGTGCACGAGTGTTTTGCTGGCACGCACATATGTGGACCATGTTTTTGAACTGGCACTGTTTCATCACTGCTTTCAGAGGCAAGGAAAATGTCCTTGAGTTATGGGTGGTTGCGAGCCATTGTGTGGGTGCTGGGAACTCAACACAGGTCTTCCTCTAGAGTCATAAGTGCTCTTAACTGCTGAGCCACCTCTGCAGCTTCAAAGAATAGTTCACACTTATATAAAAATGTCTTTATGAAACCCAATACCACATAAAATGATATATAGCAATTTTTAAAATACAATTTTAAAAATGACAAAAAGTTAACCTATGAGTCTCCTAAGTTATTTCCCCATGAAGTGGATGGAGCAGATCTCCAGTTCACTCCTGACTGACTGTTCCTGTAGAGATCAGCTTGTGCTAAGAAGGAAACTCTGGGCTCTAATGATGGGATGGGATGCTCCTGAATGAGCAGGGCCCTTCACCTATCCTTTTCCCTGGGGTCATAGGCAGGGCAGTAAGTCTTCTGTGTATGCTTCTGTATTCCAGACTTCTTCCTTCCTATGGGCTTTCACATGACCGAGGAACTTCTACAGAACACATAGTTGAGCTCCACATCCTAGGCTCCAACAACAGGAACAGAGAGAGAGAGAGAGAGAGAGAGAGAGAGAGAGAGAGAGAGAGAGACAGAGGCAGACAGAGAGAGAGACAGACAGACAGAGAGAGACAGAGAGAGACAGAGAGAAAGGGCCTTTATCCCAGTCCTTCTGTGAGGTAGGCAGCAGGATTGGCTTGCTTGGGAACATCATACTAATGAGAGTCCAAGTGGGAGCTGGAGAGATGGCTCAGCAGTTAAGAGCACTGACTGCTCTTCCAGAGGTCCTGAGTTCAATTCCCAACAACCACATGGTGGCTCCCAACCATCTGTAATGGGATCTGATGCCCTCTTCTGGTGTGTCTGAAAAAAAAACAAGAGTGTACTCATATACATAAAATAAATAAATTTTAAAGAGAGACAGAGACAGAGAGAGACAGAGAGAGACAGAGAAAGCCAGCCTACCTCCCAGGTCCTTCTGTGAGGTAGGGAGCAGGAGTGGCTTGCTTGGGAACATCATGATCATAAGAGACTCCAAGTGGGTGCTGGAGAGATGGCTCAGTGGTTAAGATCACTGACTGTTCTTCCAGAGGTCCTGAGTTCAATTCCAAGCAACTACATGGTGGTTCACAACCATCTGTAGTGGGATCTGATGCCCTCTGATGCCCTCTTCTGGTGTGTATGAAAAAAAAAAGTGTACTCACATACATAAAATAAGTAAATAAGAGGGGGTGCAGAGAGAAGAGAGAGAGAGAAAGAGAGAGAGACAGAGAGAGGCAGAGAGAGGGAGAGGGAGAGGGAGAGGGAGAGGGAGAGAGAGAGAGAAACAGAGAGAGAGAAGGAAAGGGAGAGGGGCTTATTTGGTTGCCCCTTGGAGCTCTTCCACACATTACTCCAGTCTGCAACCTACCTGTGAGATCCACCATTAAATGCATGAGGAGGTTGTGGCTCAAATTCATGTTGGTCCCATGCTGGTGTGAACATTATTTCCACAGTGATAACCAGGATATTTATACATCATCTCACGCCCAAACCCCAAGATGCATTCTGTCAACCCTTCCTCTTAACTGTGATGTGGTAAGTTTGAGTGTACTGCTATTTAAGACAGTATGGATTGTAAGTCACTTACCAATGCTTATAATAAGTTCCAATTTTTGCCAGATATGATGTCTCATGGTAGTTCTAGTACTGGGGAGACACAGGTAGAAAGTTCTATGTGAGTCTAAGACCAGCCTAGTCTACATAGTAAGTTCCAGGACAGCTGGGGCTACATAGAGAGACTCTGTCTCAAATAAATGAATAGATAGATAGATAGATAGATAGATAGATAGATAGATAGATAGATAGATAGATAGTTAAATAATTCAAGTAACAAACAACCATAGAAATATCAAAGTAGAGAGGCAGAGAGGCAGGTGGATCTCTGAGTTTGAGGCCTTGGTTTTACTTCAAGAGGTGGTGTCTTGTAACCCAGGTTAGCCTTGAGCTCACCCTATGGCTGAGGATTCCTTTGCTTTTGCCTCTCAAGTGGTTCAGATGTGGGGATTCTTTATTTGCATGTCTGTGTGCTATGAATGAGTGTGCATATGTGGTAATCTGAATGAGAATGCTTCCCTCCCTCACCCACGTATTCTTGGCTCCTAGTTGGTGGAACTATTGTGGAAGGATTAGGAGGTGTGGCTCTGTTGGAGGGGTTGTGTCACTGTGGAGTGGCTTGGAGGTGTAAAAAGCCTTGTCATTCCCATGATTCCTCTTTGCTTCCTATTTGCAGACCAAGATGTGCACACTCCACTGTTTCTGCCTCCATGGCTTTGCTCCACCCTATGGACTCTAATCCTTTTAAACCATGTAGCAGAATTTTCCCTGTCCACTCACTGTAAACATCAATACAACAAAAAGCCTGCGATTGGACAGGGAAATGGGAGGTGGAGGGAAGAGTTTCAGAGATGAGGACAGAGAAGGAAAATGGAGGATAAACAAGAGGATTCAGATTCTGTGCGGCTTTAAATAGCCACAGGTAGCTACAATATAGGGATAGAATAATTGGGATAACTTGTCTGATCTAGGTGGACAGCTTGTATCATCATCAACTGGCTCTGAAAGTATTGTGTGGGCATCTTATGAATTGATGATTTATTGATTTATAAATCTGACTGATTAATTATACATCTCAAGAGTTTTGATTTATTGGGTTAAGAGGATTTGTTACCACCAGCAACAGAGGATGGATGGCAGAGAAGGAACTAGTGGCTCTGAGGAAAGCTAACCGGGGCGGGGAAGACCACCGAATTGGGGCTAGCCTTAGAGGTGGTGAGACTGGGACTGCAGGGGCATAGAGTATCTGGACAGAGCAGGGGATGGTGCCAATTTTAATATTTCCCACAACAAAACCATAAGCTCAATTAAACTTTACTTTTCCATTTTAAGGTTTTTCAAGACAGGTCTTCTCTGTGTACATATACTACATAGCCCTGACTATCATGGAACTCACTCTGTAAACCAGGCTGGCCTTGAACTCATTTCTGGTTGACTCTGTCTCCCACATGCTGGGATTAAAGGTGTACTCTGCCACTACCTGGCTTTAAAAAGAGAAAATAAAAAAAATTATTAAAATATTGTTATGTGTGTTGCTGTTTTGCCTGTATAGACAGTGGTTAGCTGCTAGGGTTTGCTAGCATTTGAACCCAGGTCCTCTGGAAGAGCAGCCAGTGGTCTTCACTGTTGAGAAATCTCTCTAGCCCATATGCCCTTGATTTAAAAAAAAGAGGTCAAGAATTCAAAAGAGTACAGTGAGGAGAGATATATGGGAAGTTTAAAAGGAGGAATGGGGAAAGGATAATTATAGGCTCTTTTTTAATTTGCCACATGGCCTCTGAAGTGATAAGCTGACCACATAGCTTGGTGATCTGAGTCAACCCTATAGCAGTGAAGTGACAGATGTCACAGACAAATTGCTTGTACAACTAGCGATGGATTTTTTTTCAGTGATGGGTTCTCATAATGTAGCCCTGGTTGGCCTAGAAATAGCTCTGTAGACCAGGCTGTCCTCAGAACTCAGGTCTTCCACCTGCCTCTGCCTCCCCAGTGTCAGGATTAAAGGTGTGCACCGCCACATTTGGCCTCTTCACTTCTTAGAAACACAGAAATCACCAGCCTGAGCTTGCAAATAGACTTTTATTATCATTGAGGAAGAGGACATATAACCTACTCAGTTATCAAGAACGGATGTTCAAAGTATATGCCATCAGAAAACTGGGGTTGGGAACATTTGTCATCATTCGAATTATGCTCACATCGTCACATAATGTTTGGTAATAAGGGCTGCCAAAGGAAAAACAAGATGTCAGTATTCAATCGGGAGTGAAGCTTATCAACTGATAGACAATTTTTCATCAGAGTCCTGAATTTGTTTAAAACTTTTAAATATGCATGTATGATGCGTGTATGTGTATGTATACGTATGCACTTGTGTGTGTGTGTGTGTACCGGAGTGTGTATGTGTCTACGTTTCCATGCCTGTGTGTATGTGTGACTGTATACATGTGTGTGTGTGTGCTTGTGTGTCTATGTGTGTGTGTTTGTGTGTGTGTCCCCGTGCATGTGTGTGCTCATATGCATGGAGTGGGTAGACAATAACTTATGGAATCAGTTCTCTCCTTTCACCAAGCAGGTTCCAGAGACTGAACTCGTCAGGCTTGGTGGCTGTTGCCTAAACTGCTGAACCAGCTCAGGATAATTTTGAGTAACTGCTCACACTGGCAAAGGAAGACTCTCATTCATAGCATGAGGTCCAATCCCAGCCTTCTGCAATAAACCTCTGCCCCACTTCTCAATTCTCAGTCGTTCAGTAGATTACCTAGCTTAAGAACAAGGAGAGAAGCCGGGTGTGAGGCAGCATACCTATAAGTCACTTCAACTTAGGAGGCTGAGGCCAGAGAATTGGCAGTATTTGAGGCAGTTTGAAGTTAGTCTAGGCTATATAGTGAGACCTTGTCTCAGAAAAAAAAACAAAGATTTTAATTTATAAATTTATTTTAAAATTGAATTCTGTTCCCTTAGCCAAACATGGCCCACTCAGAGGAAATATAGTAAAGAAGCAATGCATTCCCTCCCCACTAGGGGGCATGGAGATGGTGGGGCTCATGTCAATCATTCCATTCTTTACTACTGAGGGAAACCTCTCCTAGATCACTGAGAAGCTCATAAGTGTCAGGCCCGCCCTGGGTGAGGACACAGCCTCCTGCCCGTGGCCTTCCAGACTAGCTGAAACCTGTCGTCCACACCCATAGTCTCCTTTGCACCGAGGTGGTAAAAATGGCACCCCATCTTCCTCCACTCGGCATGTTGAGAACACAGCAAAACTCCCTAAAATTTGGGGTAAAGTTCATTATCAGAGTTCATCCCATGTGCAAGACCCTAGATTGACTCTCCCAGCACAAGAAAGATAAAATCCCTTCCTCAAATTGTAAGTCTACAAAGACTCTAAAGCAGATTAAACTCCAACCACTTACACCAGATTCACCAAAAAAACCACTTGGATATATAAGGTTTTAGGCTAGCCTTAAATACAGAGCAAGTTTGAGGCCAGACTGGGGGTGTACAAGATGTCTCCAAATAACAGCATACATGCACACGCACACACACACACACACACACACTTTACATAGGCAAGGCCTTCTTGTGCAAATCAACAAAACTGAAGATATCACAATATCAGATTTTAAAATATATCACAGCAAGCTGTTGTGATCAAACTGGAATGAATGCTACTGTCAGCAAATAGATGAATCAGATCCTAGGAGAACCTGTACTTTTATCACTTGTTGATTTTTTTTTAAGTACAAAAAACAGGCTCTCCAATAAATGGAGGAAGATTCAAAAGTCACCACTTTCTTACACTTCCCACTACTGAATAATTCATTAATCAATTCATAACATACTGAAGGCAACACTGACCTGAGACTGGAAAATGACTAAAAGAGAATCTGCAGAAAAAGCTCTGAGACTCAGGTCTAGGCAGGAGTTCTTGGCTAGGGACTCTCCAGTACCAGTAACCAAAGCAAGAACTGGCAACTGGGACTGAATCACCCTAAAAAGACTCTCCACAGCATTGTGGAGTAAACAAAACACTGAAAACAACCAAACAACAACAAAATCATCCACCAAGAGAAGGAAGAGAAACCCCACAGAGTATGAGAAAAAAATGGAAATAAGTTTTCATTGTGTATAGCCCAGAATTGCAACGAATTTGAATGTAGCATATGCTAGCCTCAAACATGAGGTAATTCTTGGCCTTAGTTTCCTGCATGCTGGAATCATGGCTGTGTGCCACTATGTTCAAAGGGAGAAATATCTTTTAGTCATACATGTAGTATAAATTATATTGGTAAATTGTCATGTGCTGTGGACCCTTGTTGAAAAGGGACTCTGGGTGAACAACATCTGTCCCAGGCAGAGACAGGTGGATCTCTGAGTTCTAGGTCAGCCTGATTCCAAAACAGCAGAGGCTGCACCACAATCACTGAAGGTAACTTGGATGAAGGCAAATAAGACTGAAAGGAAAATGAGCCAAATGGAAATAATGACAGCTCACTGATTAAGCAACCCAAGTGGGGACCACACTCAGGAGAACCCATCCTGCCATTAAAGATAAGATATGAGGATGCAGTCCCCCTACTTCACCTGTGGGCCTGAGACTGGTGACATAATAACTGGATCCCAAGAACTAGCAATTCTTTCTTTTCCCTCCCTCCCTTCATTCCTAATACATAATCTCTCTCTATAGCCCCAGCTGTCCTGGGACTCACTATGTAGACCAGGCTGGCC